TTTTTAAACAAATACTAAATTCGTGACTTGAGTCTTGACCCATTAAAAGAATAGGAAAAACCCCTCTATAATGTGTTCACTTCGTATTTAGTGACGACAAGGAAATTCTACTTATGGAGTTTTCTTTCCAGCCATGGCATAAATTCAAGGTAAAGTAAAAAAATTGGGAAAAAAATCATAAAAAGGTTAAAGGGGTGTTTGTTTTGACATTTTAAAAATAATTATCAATTGTTGATTTTAATAAAATGAGTTAAATATTTTGAATTATAAAGTGACATTAAACTTAGTTTTAAAGTACATTTGTTTTATTATATTTTTGTAATACTTTATTGAAATAATATAATTTTAAAATATTTTTCACCTTAATACTCTTTATTTCAAAATATCTATTTTTTTTATTTTGATTTATCGTAAGTTATCAATTTTTTATTTTTTAAATAAACAAATAATTTATACTTTAACCTTGTCATTATTTCTTTAATTTAATTATTTATCCCATAAAAAATGTATATTTATCTTCTTCTTCTTTTTTTTTGTTTGAATTGGGCAGCGAAGCGCCAGTATTAGGGGTTTTGCCCCCATTTAATTGTTAAATGTGTACAGTTTAAACTGTTTGAAATTATATAATATTTTTTTGTATTTTTTAAAGGTAATATTTGTAAATACGTAAATTATTCCTAAATTTTTAATTTGAGAAAAAACTCAAAAAGTGAGAGTTATTTTAAAACAAGAGAGAGTAGTATTTTAGAGGTTATGGTGATAAACACTAATCTCATAAATAAAAACTGATATTTTTAAAAAAAATGCATCATTCATTCAACTTTAATGGTTCTAATTTAACTTTTCAAACATAAATTTCCTCTCAAAATTAACATATTTTATAAATAATAATTAAATTTTTAATCAAATAAAAATATTCAATATGAACTACATATATATATAGGAAAAAATTTTAATTGTTGTTCATATAAGGTTAAAGTTTCATTTGAAATTCATGGCTAAAAAATTAAAAAATTAAAAAATTAAATTAAAACTACTAAATTGAATGGTAAGAGTACTAATTTTCAAGTTAGCTTGCAAAAAAAAATATATAAATATTATTAATAAATTAACATACTTGTATAATTTATTAAAAACATTTAAATAATTTCACAAAAAAAATTTCAATTATTTTTTTACCTTGGTTGACCTGAAAATCACTTTTATGTTATTTTTTCACCTACTTCTTTTCTTCTTCTTCTTCTTTTTTTTTTTTTTTTCTCAAACTCTAATCTTGCTCCTGCAATAACGATCCTAACTTGTCAAATTTTGAGATAAGCCAACAAGTGGCAAGGAAGACTAAAAATGAAGAATAATCTTAATGGATCAAATTAAGAGAGTAAAAGTTTCATGTTTAACAAAAATGACAAAAGGGAGAGGAAAAAACATAAAAAAGCGGGCTGGCAATCAAGCAGGAAACAGATCATCTACCGAAGAAGAGGAATCCTCAAAACAATTGGAAGAAGAAAAGGAGGAAAATATGCAAACTGGGACTGTCAATGAGGCAGGCAACAAACGAGGACCAGGACGTCCGTGGCTTCCGCTACTATCAGCTGAAGTGATGGAGATAAAGAGGGAGGAGAAAAGAAAAAAGGATAGAGATTATCGTGCAAATAAGAAGGTAAAGAGATATATGTCCTGTTGTTTCCACATGTATTATAATTGTACGGTGAATTTAGTGACAGTTTTTCTTTGTAATTAAAGATTACTTCGAATTATATATTAGTAGTGTGCATAAAAAATCTTCATTTATTCTGTTTTAATTGTTAATTTAGTTGAATTTAGTGGAAGTTTTTCTTTGTAATTAAAGATTTCTGTTTGAATTGATCTTTGTAGTGTAAATTCGTTAGTCTTCAGAAATTACAAGAACTGGTCATAAAATTTTGTGAGAAGCACGAGATTACTGAAGAGTTCAACGCCTTTTTTGAAATGCATGAAGAAAAGGTGTGATGATCTTTTGCTTGAGTTTTTTATCCAAAACTTTTCCTTATGCAATATTAATTCTATATAAATATATACATGACAATGATTAGTATACCCTCCAATTCAACACACTGCACAGCACATCTGGTTTAACCATCCAAATTTGTTTTTGGAAGTTTTTCCGTCATAAATTTAAATTTAAAAATAATAATTTTTTAATATGTGTGTTATAGAGTGCGTTGACCCGGAAGATCTACCAATTATTTTCCATGTATATATATATATATATAATTGCCGTTGAAAAGATTGAACAATACATTTTTACTTCCTTTTGCCTTGATTTATTATTTAGCTAATCTTTGTTTTAATGCATGTCAAGGTGGAGGAACAAAGCAAATACTGTGAAGAATTGGAGATGGTTTCTGAACCTTTATGGGTACTTCCTTCCAACCATCTTTTGTTTTTGGTAGTATTTAATACATTAATTACATCACTCTTTATCTGACTCTTTCCAACTCCTCTTAAATTCCACAGAACACAAATTTTCTAGAGGAACTTAATAATGTGACATCTAAAATAGAACTGGCTACTTTGTAATTATCATCCACAATTTAAAATTTTCACCTTAACACTTTAATCCCATTTAAACAAATAAAACATTTTATTACTAGAATAATGAAGAAAAAGGAACATGATTATGGACAGTAATCATTCCTCTTTTCTTTTTTCTTTGTTTTCGCCCCTTATAGTTTCCTAGTTTTTTGCAAGAATAATTCAGCCATTTAAGCTTGAAAAACAAAAAGCAGAGAAGATGGCATGCAGATTGATGAACAGGAACGAAACCAAGAAATCGACATGGAAATTGATGAATTTAATCCTAATTATCTCAAAATCTATGTTTAACAAAGCTGAAATCCAACACATCAATGAAAATGAAGCAAAACCCATGCTTTCTAGATATCAAAAAGGGGGAAAAAAGAAACATTAATAAACCCACAATCTATGAAGTCTGAGAAAAGGGAGCTTGCCTGTTGAAGATTGGAGGCCACTCCGCTGGATCTGGGATGAGGAGGATGAGGATGCCAGAAAAGTGAAGAACGGGATCTGGTGAGAAGTGCGGCAGATGGAAGATGGATAGAGTAAGCAATCGGCAAAGGGAGATGCAAAATCAGAAAAAGGTGAAAAAGATGTAGCAATCAGTAGATGAAGAAGATGGCTAGAGAGGAGCAATCGACAGATGAGGATGTTGGAAAAGTTCAGATCGGGATCTGGCAAGAAGTGCGGCAGATGGAAGATGGATAGAGTGAGCAATTGGGAAAGGGAGATGCAAAATCAGAAAAAGGTGAAAAAGATGTAGCAATCAGTAGATGAAGAAGATGGCTAGAGAGGAGCAATCGACAGACGAGGATGTTGGAAAAGTTCAGAGCGGGATCTGGGGAGAAGTGCGGCAGATGGAAGATGGGTATACAACAGCAATCGGTATGCATTTCAAAAAAAAAAATAGCAATCGGTAGTGTACACCGATCGGTAGTATTTTGGGCACGGTGTATATAGTTGTTTAATCGTAATTTTGTTAAAATGCGAGGGTAAAATAGGCATAACGGGTAATTTTATTAAAAGGAAGGTAGAATCACGCGTAAAAGCAAGGATTTCTTGCTTCTGGAATTTTCGCAGGGTGAAGGTCAGCTAAGGCAATTTCAGAAATAACGGTGTTCGATGCAGCGTGGACTTCAAAAGCACTGTCCACCTATTGCACCAAAGAGATATAACTATGGTCATCTATACTAATGTTATAGTGACATAAATTGTAAAAAACTCTCTTCGTTAAAAATACTAATTTTATAATTCAATGAATTTGCAAATATGAGTGGAAGTAATTTAGTTTGTTTATTTTTAAATAAAATATTAAGTTTAAATCTCATAAATAAAAAAAAATAAGGGTATTGAATACAGAAATATTAATAAAAAAATAGTAATTTTATTAAATTTAATAAATAAAAATAATTAATAATTATAATTATTAACTATTAATTAATTAATTAAAAGCAATCAAGAAATTACCTCGCCAAGACGTTTCTGCTATAAAATTCGTCAAGCAGTTAGATGGAAATTTTCTCATTCAGATCGAACGATCCTATCCGACCGGCTCAGTTCCGTTAGGTCTGCGCCACAGCGAATCCTTTTCATTTGTCCATCTTTTCATATATATCGTGGTGAAGATTTAGCTGTGTAAACTATCAATCTTTTCATCATCATTATTTGAATATACACATGCTTAATTTATTGTTTTCATCGTTTTTCCTGTCATTTCTTCAATTATTCTTCGATTTTCTACTGTCTTGTTTTGTTGGGTAGTTTGTTGGTTGAATATTGAACTCTTCTTAATTTTCTATTTATCAGCAAAGGAAGGGTTTGGATCTGCTTAAGTATTACTTGTTTAATGAAATCAGCTAACTCTAATTAGTAGTTTCCATACATTGTCTCTGTCGCAAGGAAGAATGGCAGGCAAAGGAAAGAAGAAAATAACTGGAGCGGATGAAGCAGGAAACAAAGGAGGACCAGGGCGTCCGCCACTGTCTCAAGAAGAAAAGATGATAAAGAAAAAGGAGAAAAATGAAAAGAGCAAAGCAATTCGGGCATATAAGAAGGTAAATAAATTAATGTACTGTTGTTTTCATATGTATTGTAGGGTGGTGAATAAGAATTAATGTCCAAGATGTGTGGAGAAGAATTTATCTGAGTTGAGCCTTAATTCTCTCTTAAAAAATTTTTTGGAGATACTCTTTTACTGTGATATTGTTTTGAGTGGGAGATATATATTAATGCCCAGTTCTTTGTATATAAGTCTTCAATGGATAGAGAGTACTTATGGAGAGCATATTAGGAGATGATATTTGAACATACTTATCTGCTTAATTATGAGAATTGCTTTGAATGTTTTTTATCTATCAATTACAGTAACTCTTACAGGAATTTGAATGCATTTTAACTGTGGGAAGATTGTGGAAATTGATAAGGGAAATAAATTCTCTATTATTTGATGAATTATTATTAGTCTGTTGGGGAAAGGAATGTTTTGTGATGCTAGTTTGGCTAAAAGGTGTCATTTCCCACACTTAATTATATAGTATTCTTTATGAGTTGTGACTAACAAAACCTGAGCATATATGCATTCATTTAAAATGGATTTAGGTAAGGGTGAAGATTTTGAAATTGACCCTGCAAAGACTTGGTTAACACTAGAGGGTAGCTCTTGTATATAGCAAAATTGGTACATTAGTTTAACTAAAGCATGAGTTTGGAATCACATATAGCTTGAAATATACGTATATAATTTGTTCTTAAAAGAGAAAACCATTCTTTACATGGTAAATGGAAAAGAGTGCCTAGAAACTTGGAAAATTTGTCAAGTAAGACGAAGGGAGTGAGAGGCAAAATGAAAGAGCCTGATGGACAGCTTGGACACAGACAGAGCTACTAAAGTACTAGTAGACAATTCAGGAGTAGCTTTAGTTTGTTGGGAAGGAGGTCATGAATCTCCCAAAGGATAGTTTTCTTTGGACTATGACAGTTAGTGGATTGGGGACTGTTAATTGCTGTAATCCTTGCTCTCCCTGAAGCTTGATGTGGCAGTTGAGAAAGTTTAGCAACTTGCCATGTGCACAATAACTTTCTTTCTTCCTTTGTAGCACTGCATGTCATTATAGTGATTGCCAAGCAATATCTAGGTATATGTGGCTCTCTGCATTTAAGTGTTCTTATTCATTATGGACATAGTTTTCATTTATATTTAGAGCTATGGGTTATAGCTTTAATATGACTTTAGGTGCCTTTATGAAGGATTTCATATGTAATCTCTTTTTCTATTAATAATAGACATCTATATTTCTCATTAAAAAATAAAGGAAAAGAGAGAGAGGGAGGGAGGGAGAGAGAGAGAGAGAGAAAAAAGTATGGGTAAGCTTGTACATGACTGAAATAGCTAAGTTTCAGCATCAAATATTAACATACATAAGGTTTAACCAAAGACTACATGTAGCTGAAAGTAGATGAGTGTAAAGTGTTTACAAACAGACTTAGTAAAGCTTAGATACAAAAGGCTTATTAAATAATGGAGCCAAATTCTTGTTTTTTGGTAAATATACAGGTTTGCATGTGTTACCAAGTAAATGCTCACAACTGACATATAGGAGACTCTCTGGAGTAGTAGCTAGGATGTCAGCTACACTCGACACACCTCTTTAGCCAGTCTGAAATAAGATGAAATACACTAGGGTGAACTTGAGAAAGCCCAGTAAGAATATATATAGATTATGGCTTTAAGCTATAACTGAGCCATATGGTTATTAGTCAATTTTAAGACATAAGCTAAAAGTAAGCTACTGAATTTAGAAGACTAGCTGATGACAGATTTTGCCTGCACATAATTTAGATAATTAGCATGCTACAGACCAAGTCACAACAATTAGAACTAGCATTTCATAACAAAATTAGGCATAAACTGACATGGTGTACATAAACAAAATAGGTTAATTTTCATGCCTTTCATAATTAGCTAGTCTCAATATAAATGAGACTTGAACAAAAATAGAACTAACATAAACACCAAAAACAATCAATAAGCATAAACTAAATGGCCAGGGAGTCCACTGTCCACTAGTGTCCATGCACTCACACTCTAGTAATGAAGCTAATCTCGGTACATCCCTACTGCACACCGAGGTTCACTACTATTCTCATTAGAGATTCATTATTGGAGATTCATTATTGGACACCCCTGAGGGGTTAACTATTCCCAAACCATAGGGTTAGCTAGCCTCTAAACTTCCATAGTTCTAAGGCAATTGCAGGCTTATATATATACAGGGTTAAGTATATAATTAAATAATTAACATGCATAAAATGTTAAACCAAAACATAACACTCACCTCTAATCTGTTTATGACATAAATCATTATTAGAAGCTAGCACATAAATTTATGCATGGATGTCATTCATCTTAATTACATTCAAGCACAAGAACAAGAATAGAATGTTCTGTTTGTAGCCTAAAATACATGTCATTCATCTTACATTCAATTTCTCTTAAGTTGGTCTTTGATGCTCATGATGACCATAAAAGAAGTGGTGTGGGAACTTCTTTGGGGATGGTATGTATGTAGGTAGCTAGTATGATTTTTCTATTGTTTTAGTTTATGACCTGAGTATGTGTATACAAAATATGTGGTTGGTGTTCTATTTATATTGCTGGAGTTTTAAACTCCCTGTTTCTTCTTTATATGCCTTTCTTTCAAGTCTTTTTGCTTTGTCTACCTTAGTTGAAGGAAGGATTGATGTGGATTAGCACCATGGTGCAGTAATCCATCCATAATCTCCAATATGTCCATTCAGCCCTCAGCTTGCAGCTGAGTTTCCACCTTCCTCTAATCACTCTCCAGGGCTGCAGCAGACTTAATTGGTCTCCATCCAGCAGCTGTTCTATGTTTTGTTATGCGTGCAGTTTTCTTGTATGTTATTTTGAGGATTTTCTATAGGTTCTACCATTTAGTTTCTGTTTATGTGGGTTGTAATGGATGAGTTTATATGTAATAGTTCATTTCTTGGAAAAGAAAATGATTTCATATTAATGATTGAATATCATTACCTGAATTATATTTGTAGTCCGCCTAAATTAAAAGGAAAAATATTATTTATTCTGTTTTAATTGTAAATGCAGTGTGAATTCAGTAGGCTTCGACAAGAGGAAAAAGTGTTCAAGGACTTTTGTGAGGAAAATGGACTGACAGAAGTGTACCAAAACTTTCGTGAAAAGTGCAAGAAAAGAACTGAAGAAAGTTCAAAGGTTTGATGATATTTCTCAAAACTAACAGGAGATGGATGGATGAGAGAATATATAGCAATTTACAAATAAATGCAAATAAACACTTTCAATCATTTCCCATGCATGATTTACTTTTTGATCTTTGTTTTTCATTCATCAAATGAAGGGTACGGAAGAGCAAACAAGAGAGTTCAATGACGAATTCGACAAGCTTGCTGCTGAAGTTTTTTCGGTTCGATTATCTGTGCCCTACTTCCTTCCAACCATAGCCATGCATGCATCTTTTCATTTTAGGTTTTGATATACATTTATTAGTGCATCACAGCCCTACCACAAATGTGCTCTGATTTCATGTTCTATTGCCCTTTAATTATCTGAATCTTTTCAACTCTCTCTCTCTCTCTCTCTCTTAATTCCAGGATTTTGGAGCAAACATACCATATGAGGAGGTAGGCGATATTTTGCTGCATTATATGTTTAAAAATGTTGACATCCTAATTATGAAATTACTGTTTTTTCTTATCTTGCAGGGACTTCAACTACTTATACAATATTATTCTGAGGTATAGAAATTTTGCTGCCTCATCTTTTAATCTTTTAACTAGAGTGCTTCTGGTTGATCAGTTTGATTAATTGATACCCACTAACATAAAAAACTTGATTTAGGGCTACTGTGAGGCATCCAGACTCTTATACCAGTAGCTACTAACTCAATATACTAAAAAAATGTACACTATCTTTTAATAATGTTGCTATTCTAATCATGTCATTACTGTTTTAACTTTTTCCTTAACTTACAGGACCAGGCAGCAGCTGTTGAGGAGGTACAGATACTTTGTTGCATTACCTTTTAAAATTTCCTAATGCTGAAAAAATTAAGAATCCAAAATCCCAGTTCTTGGCGGTTTCATTAAATACTTAATGTAAAGAGTGACTATCATAGTTTTGAGTTTTTAGATTCTAATTTTTTGAGTGTTAGGATATATTCACTTTTCCTTTACAGCTTGTTTGGTTTGATGGGAGGGGAGGGGAGGGAAAGGGAGTTCCCTCTGTTTCTCTCAAACCAAACAGGGTAGTATCATGGACTTACTGTTTTAACATGTTTCTTAACTTGCAGAACCGTGAAATGTTGGAAGGAAACTTAAAGGGTATAGATAATTTGCTGCATTATGTTTTATTTTTTACATTCTAATTACGGAATATTGTTTGAACTTTTTCTTTAACTTGCAGCTGGACCCTCAAATGTTGACTCGAATTCTGGTGGAGAATGGCAGTCTAGCACTACTTTGATAACTGGTGTTGTCGCCGATTCTAGTAGCGCTGGAGGTCATGGTGGTGAGTTAATTATTTGACTGGGCCAGGGCCAGGGCTGGGGCTGGGTAGCTGCCTTAATCGTTGCTATACATTAGGCTAACTCTCTTGTTTTGAATTTGACAGGAATAGGGCCGAAGTTAGGCACCCCATTTGAGCAAGCATGGGAATTAAAGAGGAAGAGAGAGGAAGAACTGGATGAAGCTCGTAGGGGCAAAAGGCCTGCAACTGCTGACAATTACACTCCACCTCATCCTCCAATTGATGGTTCTCAACCTAGTGGGTTTATGGCTGATGCTCGCCGCCAGACTTCCCCTCAGTCAGCTGCTGCACATCTTTTCTCTACCTCAGCATGGGCATCTCAGTGGGAGGAGAGGTTAAGGAAGTTAACTGGTGAGCCTGTGCCGGGGGTTAACAATGGAGCCCATGCAATTATGGACGATTTTGTGAAGCTGGTCAGCAAACTATAATTAAGGCCTTTTTCTTCTTCAAAAGTTCAAATTATTATTATTATTTTTTTTTTTTTTTGAGTCAAAATTTCTTCCTCAATTAATCTCTATTATCTCCAACTTTTTTTGAAAAAAAGACAATGACATTCTTCTCTTTCTTTTCCAGGTTCTGGGGTCCTCTATCTCTCATGCAATTTATCTGGCGAAGCAATATGAGAAGCTCCAAGTCAAAGATGCTGAAATAAGAAAGCAGGAACAAGAAGTTTTAGCAGCTGCTTCTATTGATGCCAACCCTAAATTCAAGGAAAAGAAGAAAGAAGCAGACGACCTGAAAAAACAAGTAGAGGAGCTGCAGGAGGAAGTTAGCAAACTTCAGGCTGAACTGGCAAAGAAGGATGAGATTATTTCCAAGGATGTATTTAAGCAGAACCTGGCTGCCGTATCCCTTGGCTGGAATTTAATGAAGAAGTTTCTGGAGTCCATGGATGCTGGTACGGAGTTGCTTAACCTGTCTCTCTTGGACACCATTAAGCACCATCCTCCTCTTCTTCACCAGTTCAACGAGGGTCTGACTTCAATAGGTCAGGGACATACTGATATTGATGACACATTTTGCATCCCGTTCGATCTACCAGTGGTTGTGTCGGACCCCTTTGTTTCGGATCAGTTCACCCAGACTGTCAATACGGAAGGTGAGCTCATCGGCTTTGGCCCTCCAGGAGATCCTAATGTTGTCATCTTAAGTGCCAATAGTCCTCCGCTTCAGACTGCAAATACCGGAACTAACAATTTGGACCAGGAGGACAATATTGCTAATCGGGAGAATAAAGCTGCAGAGGCTGACAACTCAGGAATGGGCGCTGATGCCACCTGTGGATCGTGGTATCCTTGAATTCCTCCCTTTTTACATCTGAATAATAGTTTGGAATGCATTCGTACTTGCTTAATTTGAACAATTTCATTGCCCCTGGCTCCTGCGCCGTATAGCCCAGAAAACTGATAGAGTTTGTATATATTTTCCTTCTGTTTATCCATTGGATTCACCGAATGCTATATTTTGGTGCCGATGGGAGCATCTTCTTATTGGACATTGATATGTTGATGCTTGCTTT